CACACACACACACGCACACACACAGACACACACACACACACACACACAGACACACACACACACACACACACACACACAGCAGTCCGGTTTGCATGTCATTTCTCAATTATCGCATTTTCTCTCTTTTTTTTGGTTCTTGTCCTGTCTCTCTCTCTCTCGCTTGCTCTCTCTCTCACACACACAGACACACACGCACATACATGCGAACATGAAAACACACCGACTTGAAAACACACCTCTCGGGATGAGTCGGTGAAAATCCGACACTGTCTGGCATATAGTCATTCTTTTTTCCTGTGGAGTTGTGTATCGCGGACATGACAACACACACACTCATAAACGTACATTCACGCGCGCGCGCGCCCTGAATTCAACGTGGCGATAGTGAGCGCAGGTGGCGGCCAATGGGCCTCGCTGCACTACTCTCGACGTGCACAAAAGATAAAAATCATAGCGGTGTATCTTTCCATATTCTAGCGGAAGATTCACTCTCGTTTTGCACATTTCGAGAGTAGTGCAGCGAGGCCCAATGCTGTGTAGTGGGGGGGGCGGATCACCAGAAATCCCTAAATAATGCCGACATGCCCTGGGGCTCGCAAAGATCTCGCCATTTGATCATTGACAGTACATTCCTATGATCCAAAACCATTCTACGGCCGGGAACATAACTCCCTTCCTGAAGCGAGCACCTTGCCCATGGCCACCCCATTCAATTCGGCCTGTATGTCCCCGTGTGTGCACGCGCTCATGATTCGTACACGTCGATGGACTACCGCGCGCCAGCAGACACACACACACACACACCCACACACCCACACACCCACACACCCACACACATGCCACACAGTTTTTTTTAGTGTATGGCGGCTATGACAACACACACACACACACACAAAGAGAGAGAGAGAGAGAGAGAGAGAGAGAGAGAGAGAGAATGTCCGGATGTGCTCGAATATGTCTGATCGGACACGTGGACATATCAAGGGCTGGGATTTTTTTTTTTTTTTTTTTTTTTTTTTTCGGGAACGGCAGCCAGTGTCGTATGATCCAGGCACAATGGCCTGGTTCATCGGACGGCTGCTGTTGAATTATATCAACCCGAAAATGGGTTCAGTCTGCTTCGAGTGGAAAACAGCGCTCTACTACCAACCGGCCCTATAGGTAATTCAGAATTGTAGTGTTTTCTTTTTTTTTTGACTTGTAGTATTTCAACAGTTAAGGCGTGTACCAATTGGGCAAGGCCAGTTTCCAGTTGGTACTAGAGTGCTAATGCTTTTTTTTTTTTTTTGGTAAGTAGAGTGCTGCTTTCCACCGTCGTCGTTGACACCGGCGATGAGGACCCAGTACCGGTCTTCCCCCCATCATATCTTTACCCACCCTGACCCTGATTTCGAATGTATCCAAGCTATCTTTCCGGTTCGGTACGGACATACTTTCCGGTCCGGTACAGACATAATGAGGGTGCTTTGTTTTTGGGGGGACTTTAGGGATAACCCGTACTATACTACTACTGGATTCTGATCACAGACAGCGAAGATCAACGGCCAGTAACGTATAAGTAGGAATTGAGGTTATATAAAAAAAAAAAAGAAAGAAAAAAAAGGAAGTAGAATTGAGGTTATATATATATAAAAAAAAGAAGAAGCGAGAAGTAGAATTGATGTTATCGGACCCTCGACTCGGAGCTTGATCTTGACGAATAGCGGCAGGCCTCTGCCTCGTGGAGGATGGTCCCATTAACAAAGAGGATTGGATTGAACGCCCGAATGTGGCCGCGTTTGTGGACAAGTGCAGAAAATTGAGATCGAACTCCTTTTCTGCATCTCTGCCTAAAACACGCCCAGATTCAGGATCTTAATCCAACCCAATCCCCGTTGCTAGTGGGACCATGCTGGTGGACGGGATGGGCGGGGGTGAATGTGTACGTGTGTTTTTGTTTTCTTTTTTCAATTTAAGAATGTTCGTTGTTTCTTTTGTTGTTGTTGCGAAAAAAAAATAAAAGGTAGGTTTTGTCTTTCCCCCCGCCTTTTTCCCCCCCCCCCGTACAAATGAACGGACAGCAATCGATGGTGAGTCTGGTGACATGTTCCAGTCAAAAAAAAAAAAAAAGTTCGTTTAAAAAAAAGAAAAAAAAAAGAAATGCCCCGCCCAAAAAACAAAACAAAAAACAAAAAAAACAAACAAAAAATAAAATGCCCCGCCATGTCGGCAGTACAAATAGAAACTTGACCATCGACTATCACTCTCTCTTTCGGAGTTTTGATATTCAGATAGAGATACTGGCGCCATTTCGACTTTCTCTCGGCGTCCGCTTGTCCTCTCGTTCTCGTTTTATTTATTAAGTTTATTATCGGTTTGATTGCGAATTTGCGAATTTGCGAATGCGGTCGGGGACGGGAAAAGCGTTTGCGTTTTGCCGCCGCATTGCGCATTTTTTTGAAGTGGAAAAAGTGTCTGTTGCTTGTGCACGGCCGTAGCCGGCGGCGGCTGCGTTCCTCAGTGGCAAGGACTCTAAAAGTCCTGTTCCTCGGAGGAAGGGAAGGAACAACTCATGTGTCCGTAGAAGCCCCGCGGGTGGCAGTAGAGTGTTACGCCGAAACGTATCCACACTCGGAAGCTACTACCAATACTACGACAATTTCGAGATCCGAAGGTGGCCGTAATTCCGGTCCGGTACGTGCTTGATGCTTAGTATGAGAACGAGCTGACCCGATTGTGGAAGACTTCCGTGGCTGGAGAAAGAAAGAGTTCACGTAAAATTCTATCAGGCGGCTTCCATTCTTCTTCTTCTTCCCCTTTTTTTTTTTTTTTTTTTTTTTTTTGGCTTTCATTCTCACGCTACTGTCTTTCCTAA